TCCAGGTGTATCGATCAAAGAAAATGGATATCCACCACAATTAACATCATTACGAAAAAGATTTTGAGTAACACTTCCGACTGCTTGGTCCGTTTTATGGGATGTTCCACAAAGTGAATTTAACAAAGTTGTTTTTCCCACTCCAGTCTTGCCCATAATGATAGAATATGATTTATATGGTAACGTACGTGGACTTTTCTTATGTTGTATTAAAGGCTCAATTGCACTCATAATTGATGTCCTGTCTATTTTGCTATTGTTAAATGTTACAGTTGTAACTTCCCGAGGTCCGAGATATAAATATCCTTAATAATAACTTGGAACATGTTTTATATACAAAATAAGAAAAAAGAAAGAGAAAAGACTAAGGAATAAAACAGGATTGCGTCAGCATGTGTCAAGTAAAATAAATATTAACGAGAGAAAATTCACACGAAATTAGACTCTTTTATCAATCTTGATATAATATCTATCTTTTTTCTGGTTTTTTTTTATCAATCTTCAGATAATGAGGCAAACTGACTCATAATTTTAGCCTTTACTGAGGTATAATTTTAGCCTGCACATTTCTGATTAAAATAACAAATCTCCCAACTCTACATGACCTTTCTTTGCAAAGTTATAGAATTTACAAGAAAAGCCCTAAATGTTCATTGTCTGCTCAAAGCTACAGAAATAAGAAGAAAGTAACTTAGGACTTTCCTTGTAAATTCTATAAGTTTGCAAAGAAAGGTCGTGTTAAACTGGGAGATGTCTCATTCTAATCAGAAATGTGCGGGCTAAAATTACGCCTCATTAAGAAAGATTTGGTTATCTTTTAGAGTTTCTGAACAACTGGTTTTCCAGGAAACTGGTCTATGAAGATCTATCAGCCCGTCTCGTGTTGATTTTAGGAATCAGCATGGTCAACTACCTATAGTTCACTAGGTTTCGGCTCGAAAACGATCGGTCAATTGGGAACGTTTCCTCGTTAGTCCCAAAGGCCAGTCTCAAGACGCACTCTTACGATCCACGGCTTGTAGATTGGATTTATTTCTCCAATGTATCATAACTATAGAAAGAGAATAAAGTTAAAGTTAATTTTTTTCATGATTACACAAAACGATTGTTTGTCAAAATCAGTATATTTTATTTTCCATTGAGACTCATATTATGCGTGACAGAGAAAAAAAGAGAAAAAAAAATTCAGATAAATTAAATGAAAAATAATTGACGCTATTGTTTCAAACACATAGTTGTGTACTACAAAAAGTAAAAAAGAGAAGAAAAGGAAATAAATTTCATCTAAAAAATGTATTCTCTTTTCTCAGACTGATGTTGAACGAAATCTCTCGCCATTATAAGACAAATAAAAAAAAATTAGAGCCTTTTGCATATGCCAAATGTCGACTTACCATTTATTAACAATTACGCTAAGAACCCATGTTCCATATTATTCTCTTAATATTAAAGAAATAAAGTTTATAAAATTTTTATGAGACATACTGTAAAAAAGAAAAGATTTTTATATAAAACATCCATTCATCTGTGTGTACAAAAGTAATAAAAAAAAAGGAAATTTGAATCTTTGCATATAAATTGTGGATAAACATATAACAGATGATTTGTTCAGCCATCAAAAGAATAAGATAGGATGTATTTATAACTCTTTGTTATTAAATTATTCAAAGTTGCATAGATAAAAAAGATTTTAATTCAAGTTTATGTAGTAGATAATATCGCTATTGTTCGGTAAATAGAAAAAAAGAGTGTATGAGGTTGAATTTTCTCTGTTAAAAAGAGATAGTTGTGTACATTATTATAGTTCAGCGTATAGTTTTGGTAGTTTTCTCACCATTTGTTGATATAATTTTACTCGATTCAGATTTGTTTCTGGAGATTGTGTATGTCTTAATATTTGAATTGATGGAAAATAGAGACGTGTAAGTTGTTCAATACGATGATAGAGTACATCATTTGGTAATAACTCTTTTGATGCACTCATCATTTCTCGATCACCATTTTTATGATTTTCTCTGTTATTATTATGTTTATTGTCTCTATTTCTCGCACGCGAATGCAACATTTTTTTTTGTAATATATCTAAATGTTGTCGATGTGAGGCCCATGTGGCGGTATTTATCGATGGTTTTTTTATTTCTTCAATTTCACCAAATATTGATTCAGAGTGTTCTAGAAGACGATCGCCTGACGATGATCTTGTTGTTTTACTTATGGGTGAGTCTTTTCTGACATCGACGACTTGCTTTTTTTGGACAGATCGTTGTTGGGAGTTTTGGACAATTTTTTTCAATGAACTTTTGGAATAACCAGCATTGATTAATGAATTTGAAATGGCATCGACTTGTGATGACTTGTGTGTGTTTTCGCTAGTGGTCGATAAATGAGACGATTTTAGTTTTAATAAATGTATACTAGCCAATTGATCATTTAATCGGGATTGATGATCATCTAAATCTATTTTTCGTAGACGTGATCTTGATCGATTATTTGGTGGTAGTGTATCTCGTTGTTGAGATGAATCAAGCAAGGATTTACGTAATGATGTGGATGATCGTACCGTTCGAAAATTTGAAAATGACCGAAATGAATCATAAATTTCATAGCCATCCCCTTGTGAAATTGGTAATTGTAAATTAATGTGAGGGATATCACCCAATCGTCTCATTGTGAATAAATTGTCTAGAAATTGAGAGAGAGAAAGAGTGTGTGAGAGAGCAAGAGAGAGAGAGACATACAGAAGAAACGTGTGTATGGTTGTCTGGAAGATTATTACATTAGAAGTACAGGCTAAAGTATTGTTGAATAAACTGTTTTTTCTTGCTGCAAACTGTAATTTTGAATCTTATTAAGATCATCTTAATAAGATTTCGCTTTTCCTTTTGTTAAGATCCTGGACAAATGTTACTAAAATCGGAAGACCGAAAAGATTTAATAAGATTTGGAAAAATTTTACAAAGAACTCACCAAGATACCTTGTCTAAAGTTTTTGATGAAAATCCGGTGAGAGTCTGTCAAAATCTTATTAATAGTTAGCATGATTTTTAATAAGATTGATTCATGATTTACTAAAATGTTTTGACTATCTTGTCAAAGCACTTGTAAATTTCTATTACATAGCCAAATTCTAATTTGAGTCTTCGTATAGATAAAAACTGTAGTCGAACTGGATGAGGGTGAACCAAGAGAAATTTTATATTTTTAGACAGACGTCCATGCCTTAACGTGGACTCTCGTTAACAAACAAAAATGACACCATAAAATTCGATCAAATTTTGGTATTATTGATACAGATACATGAGAGAAAATAAGAGGACGAATGAAAGGGTAGAATGATCAAATCCTATTCCAAACCTAATAAAGATCTTAGAATGTATTATCTTACACGACTTTAGTCAGGTAATTTTAAGAAATACTTCAGATTTTCACTATAATCGAATGAACGCAATGACAGAAATTGAAAAAAATTATTTATAATCTACGACAAGAAGTTTTAACGATGTTTCTAAGTTTTTTGAAGGGTAAGAAGAAGTTGAAGGTTTTCCACTTACTTTTCTAACAAAATGATAGATGCAATTTCGAAAAGTGCTTTTTATCGCTATATCGTTTGAAAACAATTTTAAAAATGATCACCCGTTTTCTCCATGATATAATAGATGTTGTATTTTAAAAAAAAATAATTATTGTATATTTGTGTATCAATCCTGATGAATAGTTATTTGTTTACACTAATTTGATATATGAAATTAATGTTTTTTAAATTAAGCTAAACAAATGAAAAAAAAAGAAAAGAGTTATTATTGTCTTACTTTTTCAATAATTATTTATTTGTTTTTGTACATTTTAAATCAGAGACTTTTATGATTGAAATCAGAAAATGAATGACAGCGAAATGTCTTCTGTTTACTATTCTAGATCTCATGTCTTCATCACAAAAATGTACATTTTTACATTCATATTTCGTCAAGAAGTAGAAATCAACCAGTATAAAGCTTTTCAGACATTTTAATTACATAGTAGATCCTGAAAATAATTCACTTTGCTAAAAATAAACATAATTTTTCAAGTAGTTTATACAGAAATTTGTCTAAAAAAATATAATAGACCAAATCGCGTGCGTCATAATGAATGAGCCTCTCAGTATTTGCGATTTTTCTTGTGATTTTTTAGCACCCTAATGTTAGTGTATTTTTAAAATATGTGCCGCGAAATACCCTACAACACCATTCCTAAATTTTAATTTCACAACTTCAATCAAAAAGACTACGTAGATTATACGAAAGGCAAAAAGAATGGAAACTTTGTAAAGGACGGGTAACTGTTTCTTACGGAAATTGGTCCACTTTAATTTTTCAAATTTTTTTTGATAAAATGGAAGAACATGTTCATAGTAACTATACGTATCTCTTACTTTTTCTATAAACTCATCTAGGGTCCCCTGGAAGTAGTTGAAAGTTGATTTTTGCACTAACAGTATGCCAATTGTATTTCTTCGATTTTAAAGTGATTGTGGAATACTTTTTAATGAATTATATATCATTCGATAAAGAATTAAAAGCACTGTCAGTGTTCATAAGAACCTTTATTAAAAAG